GTCACACAGTAGATACTACCATAAAGATGTAGAGCCTGAGATGTTAACATCACACAGTAGATACTACCATAAAGATGTAGAGCCTAAGATGGTACTGTCACACAGTAGATACTACCATAAAGATGTAGAGCCTAAGATGGTAACATCACACAGTAGATACTACCATAAAGAAGTAGAGCCTAAGATGGTAACATCACACAGTAGATACTACCATAAAGATGTTGAGCCTGAGATGGTAATGTCACACAGTAGATACTACCATAAAGATGTTGAGCCTGAGATGGTAATGTCACACAGTAGATACTACCATAAAGATGTTGAGCCTGAGATGGTAATGTCACACAGAGTAAATACTATTATACAGATGTATCTAAAATATGTTTCAAAATAAGATACTAAAGTTAATTTAAACACATGATCCACAAACTTGTAAAAATGTTGAAAAGCACTGATAGAGATGGAAAGTTGCTGAACACCTGAGGAAACCCATGTAAACCCAAGTTTATAGATAGATATCCATTTCTACATACACAAAAGTTGACACTTTAATTAAGAAAAGTCAAAACAATGGAAGATCTTCAAAGTTTATAATAACACTTGTTCAAGACATGGATGCCCTTCCTGACACATGGAAAAATTATAAGCTACAATAGAATGAACATAAATCAACAGATACATTTTTAAAGAAAGTCCTAGACAAACAAGGGATGAGAATTATTAATAAATTCAACATTGTGTGTGTAACAAACTGGTACAGAATGTTTGTGACCACGTTTCCAAAGGAACTCATCAGGTGGAGCATGGCTGGAAACTAACATTTTAGTTCACTAGTCTAGTTAGTAACTTCACTACTCAAAGTTTAAATATAATACAAATACATTTCTATTGTAGACACGATTTTATGAAATCATTCTTCGAAGGATGTCAGACAAACGTTCGTCATTTCTCTCATTCTTATATATGGTTTAAAATTAACTGGTTATTTTGTAACATTTCATATATTTTCTCTTATTGACTAGTAATTCTTAAGCCAACACACAATTTGCTGAAGAGTCAAGTTACCTTTCTTCTCTAAAAGATGTCACATGCTGTGAAATACATCTTTATGACTTCAACTTGTCAGTAGGTTTGAAGGAAATATCAGAAACTTTTAACCCATATGCCTTCCGTTTAGTGTTCAACATTTTTTTATGGCCATGGCCAGTTTCTGTTATTAAATCTAGATGATTTAACTAAACTGATCACAAATCTAATATTAATTATATAGGGCAAACAGATGCACCAATCTTCACCATTAATGAGTATAACCTAGTTTAATAAATGATACTAGCCTAAAGCTATGAATGAAAAAACAAGTATAATGGCTAACGTAGAGGTTGAAATGCTCGCAATACCTTCAGGATACAAGCTGCCATCCCTTTGCTATACCATCTGGTATCTTCAAATTATATGATCATTATGACACAAGCTGTCATCCCTATGCTATACCATCTGGTATCTTCAAGTCTTAATGATCATTATGACACAAGCTGTCATCCCTATGCTATACCATCTGGTATCTTCAAGTCTTAATGATCATTATGACATAAGCTGTCATCCCTATGCTACATCATCTGGTATCTTCAAGTTTTGATGATCATGATGATGCAAGCTGTCATCCCTATGCTACATCATCTGGTATCTTCAAGTCTTAATGATCATTATGACACAAGCTGTCATCCCTATGCTATACCAAGTGGTATCTTCAAGTTGTAATGATCATTATGACACAAGCTGTCATCCCTATGTTATATCAACTGGTACCTTCAAGTCTTAATGATCATTATGATGCAAGCTGTCATCCCTATGCTACATCATCTGGTATCTTCAAGTTTTGATGATCATGATGATGCAAGCTGTCATCCCTATGCTACATCATCTGGTATCTTCAAGTCTTAATGATCATTATGATGCAAGCTGTCATCCCTATGCTATACCATCTGGTATCTTCAAGTCGTAATGATCATTATGATGCAAGCTGTCATCCCTATGCTA